CAACACAGTGTTACCCAGGCCCATACTACTGTTACTAGTAAGTACACTGTTAAGTGTAGAAAAATCAAGAAAAAAATTATATTTAAAGGAATTAGCTAAATGTCCAAAATTTTAATTCCTTGTCGTAAGAACCTCAAAATATTTGTGTCCCTTTTGAATCTACACGACCATTTATTTGGACTTCTGGTAAATTAACTGCATCAGCTTCCATAATCGCTTCCAAGAAAGTGTTCGCTGAAAGTGTTAAATGAGTACCAAATTGTGCTCATTGGCAAGGTGACTCTATATAGTATTATATAGAGTAATAACTGAACTAAAGAAAAATATCATCCACAGATTTGTCGCTCTTAAACGTATACTTAACCCACATTTTAATATAAACAAATGTCCATACATAAATAATGAAAAGACATGTGGGTAAACGCCGTAAATACAGGCTTTAAAAATTAATAATCAGTTTCTATTCCCACGTAAATAAAACATGTTTTTCAGCAAAACATTACGTTTGAAACAAAAGCTTCGAAGCTTTGTTCGAAGGCGCTCACGTTAGGAATCGAGGTTTTACATAATAAAGCTGTGAAATGTGTAGTGAAAACCGAAGCCTGCTTGGCATGTTGAAGCCATTGATGATAGTCACTGGAACATGGAAGCTGGATAAAAACAATTCCAACACCTACCGGTTCTACTGGTTCTACGCATGCATTTATCAAGGCATTGGTTTAACATTTGCCTTTTTGGTAATCATCAAATTCATCCAGTTTGTTGCAACAGGCGCTGACAGTGAAGATATCATCTCAAGTCAAGTGTATTTGCTCACGGTCCCTCCTATATTGGTCAAAACTTTTATATATCAAACCAGTAAAGCTTCGGATTTATTTAAATATATCCTAGAAGAAGAAGAGAAGCTGTGGCTTACAGGAGACCATGACCTAATCTCAGATTATCGAAATGAAGTAAAACATGTCAGAAAATGGAATTGGGGCATCTTGTTAAGCAGCACTTTTACAGCAGTAGCCCTGATGTCAGCAGGTGTAGCTAGTTTGATTTACGGGGACAATTCTCTATTAAACTCAGAAGGAAAGGAAAAGGAAGAATGGAGCATGTTTCCGATCTGGCTGCCGTATAATGAAAGAGAGCATAAAACTTTGGCGGTCGTTTCAAAATGTATATTCACCTTAGTGGGAGGCTTACTGTTTGCAGTCACCTGCATGATGCTTGTTGCCCTAATGCTTTATTCTGTTAGATTACTGAAAATTCAACATAATAAAATACGTAAGTGCGACTGGCCCGCGTATGATATAGAAGATTCATTCAATGATATTAAGAATATTATTGTAAGCCATCGCCGTGTGATTGGGTAAGATACAATTGAATTCGAAGTTTATTATTTAGATGAAATCCAACAGGGTCATGAGAATGCAGCAACACAAAACCAATTTTTATTTTCAGATTCATTAGAGATGTGAACAAATCTATTAGATATGTGGTTCTGGTGGATGTTTTGTTAAATTCCATTAATATTGCATCGCTGGCAACTTATTTAACCACTGTAAGTTTATGAATGAAAGAGGATGTAAAAAAATTATGCTTTCAATCTAATTTTCGGATTTCTACTTAATTTATTCTGTTTTTTATTTGGTTTGATGCATTTTCGCTCTTAGTGTTACTTGACCCAATTCATATCTTTGGCTAGTTTCGAATAATTATTTCGCCTTTTTGCACTGTAAATTCGGGAAGAACCATCGGAAAATCTAAGGAAAGTACTGTTTAGAAAAGTTTCTATTTTATTCAAGTGCCTTTTTAAGGTTTGTTTTATTTCAGACGCGAAGTGGAGAATCGCTGTTTTCTGTGTCTTATTTATTAGTTCAAATGATGCAAGTGGTTGTTTTAGGATTGCTGAAATACTTTCTAGGGGACTTCAGGACTGATGAAGGAATATGTTGGCAGTAATTTAAACAACGGAAATAAGAAAGGAAGGTTTTAATCTGTTGCTATTGAGAAACGTTTAACAAAAGATGGATGAAATACTAAAACGTGACATCACTCATCAAGATCTAATCACTAATTCTAAACAAAGCTCAAAAACTATGTAAAAAAATCAACCAACTGGTCAACTGTACTTATGTAGATAACATATACAGGGTGATTAACAATCTTATGGACACAGAGAAGGGTCGTGTAGAGAACCTCAAAGCAAGTCGAGTTTCCATTTAAGTATTTTTCTCACGCACCTGGTTAACAAGATAGAGAGTGCTAAAGTTTTAAAAAAATTTGGTATTTTCTCTTTAACTCCTACAGTTGAGATATGAGATATTTTGATTAAATTTTTAACGTAGGCTAACGTTTAGACCCTTTACCCGAAGCAACTAGTTGTGAAAATCTACAGGGCGTTCTTTTTTCTAGAAGCATACCTCTTTTTACCGCCCCAAACTTTTTTGTGTTGCGCCACTGACTTCGACCGAGCAAATGCTAGAATTTGGTGTTCAATTTAAGAATTTTCTAATCTCTTGTAATTTTTTCGTATATGCTTTCGTTTTCGAGTTATTTGCACAAATATAAGTCCATGTAGGGTTTCTGAGTGATTTCCCATGCATTTTTGTATATTTTTTGCCTGCTTTTGTTCACATTTTTCTTTTAAAGAAAACAATTTTATGATAAATTGAAATATTCGTTGAATTTTTGTGTATTTTTATTTCGATTAGCTTACAGCCGAACATATTCTGCCTCAATAGAAGATAAAGCTACTGATGGCTGTTTCTTTGAAGACCAACAAATGGTACACCCGTATAATTTCAATATATAACCTGAGGTTGATCTTCGACCTATGCTATCTGCTGCCCAATCTGCATCGGCAGAACCTTCAATACCACTAGCATAATTTAAAGAAGTATCAAAGACTAATCTTAAATCAAGAGTCCCTTGAATATACCCAAGCACACGTTTTATGGCAATCCACAAATGTTCACTTGCACAACTTTGAAATCTACTTAGTACACCAATAGAACGACACAAGTCTGGCCTTGAACGAAGCATTACATACATGATAGAGCCAATAGCCGCTCTGCACTTATTTTTCAATTCAGAAAATTCTCTTTTTAGCAAGTTATAGTTTAACTTAACTTCCATTGGAGTTTTAACAGGTTTATAGTTATTCATATCAAATCGTTCTAAAGCATTCTTTAAGTATGCCGTCTGATTTATTGTAATTACACCTTCTGAAATCTGTTGTTCAATTAGCATACCCAAGATATGTCTAACTAAACCTAAATATCTATTATTTTACTTGAAAATGCTTTTCCAACACCAGTTTAAAATATTTAATCTGACTTTCATCAGATCCTGCAAGTAGCAAATCGTCAACATAAATCAATACATAAATTGTACAATTTTCAGATATTTTTATATACAAGCAATACTAAACTTCAGATCATTTAAAAGATCAACTCAACATTAACGAATTAAACGTCTCGTTCCAACATTTCGGAGACATCTTCAAACCATATAAGGATCCTTTTAGCTTGCATACCGTTCATGGTTCTACTTTAAAACCCTCAAGAAGTGCAAGTGTATGCATGTAGTGTGCCATTTTATGATTTCCGTTGTAATTCCACCTTCCCCTTGTGTTTTTCCGTTTTTCATTTGAGACAATGCTGGTTCTACTTCTTGTATGGTAATGTCAGGTAGATCCTCAGAGCCTACATTGAGAATCGGTTCATCTCATTGCTTTCTGTGTATTCCGGGTGATGCAAAACTGGCGTCATTCCTCTGGAGCTGTTGTCTGGCATAGTTTTGGAAGTACAGAAAAAATAGCAAAAAAAATTATTACTAAAAATTGAGAAATTTGGAAAAAACTACAGGGTGATTCAAAATTGGCGTCATTCCTTCCTCTGAAGGCGTTGTCTGGCGCTGTTATAGAAGTACACAAAAAAAAATAAAATAAATGAATTGTTATTAAAAACTGAAACAGAAATACGGCAGCAATGTTTTTCAAGGTAATCTACCTAGTTAACATTGCGCAAATACCTGTTGCTTCGTAATTATTTAAAACTCCGGAATCCATGGAGTTAAACAGAGTGAAGATAAAATAGACAAGGATAAACGGCAAATTCAACAAGATTTGTTGACTGTAACGAAACGTACTTTCGAAATGTCAACCTGTTCTGATAACCTTGAATATTGGTGTTTCTAAATAAACCATACAACACCAAACATTTGAATGGTTAACTCCAAACAAGCTAGTGCCTGTATAATTTCCTTATTATCGACTCTTATCGCGCAACTTCTCGTATTCAGTTAATTAACCCCTGCTCCATTTGTATGTCCTTGTGCTGTGTGTAACGTACAAACGTGGTAGGAATGTTTCCCTTTCTGGGTATTTATTTGGTGCTTGGGAAAGTGTCAGTGGAAGGCCCTAATTCGATTATGTCCAATACTTGCTCCTCTGTGCCTGGAACCCGAAAATCGATTGTCGTCCACTATCTTCCTGGAACCACTCTCCTCGCCCTTTGTTGAAGAACACCTTGTAAATTTACGGTTTATACAGAACCGAACATGAAGGGAATATGTCCAAGTGGAAAGCTAAACAAACATCATATATATATGAAGGCCAAGAGAGCCACCGAAACACAGAAACTTTACAATTCCCTTGAAAGTTCGGTTAGTGGCAAAGACATTAATAAATAGACCAACCTAGTCATTCATAAATCCCGATTTGTTTGGGACCAACATTAAATTCCATCGAGCGCCGATATATCAATGAAAAACACGTGGTAGGGATAAAGTAGGTACCGAGCAAAGAGTAGAATTAATCGGAAAATCAACTGGCTTGGCTCCTAGCCATAGGCGTAGTAAAAATCTGTATTATCGATTTATTCTAAGCATGAAAGATTCATTCATTATCTGACCTTTATCTCTACATTATATGATTGAAATTATAAACGCTATAATAGTAACGCAAATTTTTTAAGCATTTGATATCTTTTCAATAGGGATCGAATATGGCTCTAAGCTTATAAATTCAAATCAACTCACGCCACTGGTCCCTGTTTACAATCGTGCAAAGCAGTACAGGTTAGGAAAATTCAGGCCGATTTTCCTGCAAAGGAAACCACTTTTCATCATTTCTTGTAAGCGTAACAGTTTATTAATATCACGATTATCATTTATTATCACCAAAAACATGAGAAATTGCCGTATTTACTTGTCCAACAAATCGTATTTCCCTCTTACTATCATGTCACAATCACGTACTCCCCCCTTTGCGGTGTTGTCATGATGAATGTTTCATTATGCTTCCTGGTAATTACCACCAAAAATTGTTATGAATTTTTTAATATAAAATTTCGACGCTGTTATTTACTTTGATATAGACTGTGACTGAAATGTTGCTCCCATAGAAAAACGCAAACAAATGCATCTGTTTAATCTGCGGTTAGTAGTGATATCGTTTCACAGCCTGGGTGCAGCTCAAACAACTCAACGTTGCAAGTGCAACAAGTGAACTAATAACTAAATCCTAATGTCAATGACAATAGTGAGTTTTTATGTCATAATTCGGATACTGATTCCATAGCAGACGACTTTTAGAAAATCTACCCAAACTTGACATGATCAAATCTTTTCCGTTGTACTATATGCACTTGGTTTGCTTGGGTGTTACTAAAAAAGTTCTTGTTATTATGAAATTTTAGAGAAACTTTAAAAATCTTGAGAACAATGAGGATGGAAAATTTTTCAAATGATTTTTTGTAAACTTTTGCACTCTGGTCATGTTTTAAAGATAATCTTAACTACTTTCGGTTAAAAAAAAAGTCTAAAATCCCTACGAAGCGATGAATGAGGCAAATTTTCTAGCAAAATGAATTCTGTAATTTTTTGCTGAGAAGACTGTCAGAAAATAACTGTTTTTTTGCGCTTTTGATGAAAACCTTTTACTTTTGTGTTCGGGTTTTTGAGAAAACGTTAATAATTTTCGAAAAAAAAAACGGAATGAATTTATTTTTGTTTTTGCCCCGAATTCGACTCTGAAGAAGTTTTTGTAAAATTTCCACAAAGCTATAAATATGGTAATTTTTTGCGTACCAGACCTCCAGATTGTCAGTATTTTTCAGTGAAACTACAAAACAGAGCGTTTTTGAGTTGAAAGTGAAGCAAGAAAAAAATCAGCCAAATATAAAAAACGGTTTTGTAACAGTTTATATTCTTCAGAGGCATGGAGGTGACGACTTGTCCAAATAATTTATTTTAAACTGACGCTTATTCTGTTCTTTGTTTGATTGATGAAAAAATATTTGATTTTTCTCCCAAATTGGAAGCTGGTTGGAAAAGAATTTCAAAACTGATAAACTGATTTCTGATAAGAAGTATTTTATAATTTACAATTTGCAGTTATAGTGCCTACATTTGCAAGCACTTATTTTTGTGGGGTATTTTACTTTATTCAGCAGAACAGAAAAAATTTCCGGGACTGACTGTCATAAGGAAGTAGGTAGTTCTAACTGTCAATTTAATCACGTACACACACCCACCAGCGCACTCAGTTGTTACAACTTTCAATTTCCGCGAATTTGGAGAAAATATTTAGTTCGCGGTCTATTGATTGATCATATTTTTGCCACTTTTCGCAACATACATTTATTTTGTATGATGCATTGTTGTAGAGTTAGGCTACAGCTAATGTCCTTTACAAACTGAATTGGCATCATTTGGATACAAAAAATTGCCTTATGATGCTGACGCAATGTCAGCGGATTGCAGTGATCTCCATTGGACCGTTTGGGCCAATGTCAAACAATTCAGTTATATCTGTAAGTACCTTAATTCCCAAAATCCTAGTTTTTTAAACTCCGAATTTTCAGGTTATCAAAGCTGCATACTCTTACATGATGGTGATGCAGTCATACAAATAGTTGATTACATTTAAGCTTAAGCATCTAGTAAAAGTTGTTTTAGAATAAGTATGACCGCAAGCTTAACGGCAATATGCCAGAACATAAAGCGCCCTAATTTTTTTATCGTAATGCAATAAATGATTGGAAGATATCATCAATTCTGCAAACTTCTAAAAACCGCCGATTTATTTTCCACTCAGTTTACTTTCATACAGTTGATAATAGAAATTTCAGAAATGCGGTTATGTTTGAGATATGCTTACCCACATATAGTGTGTTCTTTTTAACATTTTTTTAAGACACCAACAAGCATTTTTTTTTAAGTTATCTCATTGTTTCTCTATTAGTTTCATATTTTGTTTCATTACTCACAATGTCTGATTTGGAAATTCGAAAATTAAGAACCGCTGAATTTCCAAATTTGTCAAGATTCCTTGTTGCACTTTTTTTTATTGTCATTTTTCGTTGCATTTGAAGAACGTCAAATGAACGAGTAGAGCGGTTTTAAGATGTAGCTTATAAATAGTTAGTAAAATAAATTTTAAATGTACACAATACACTAACCAGATTAATTCAACGACAAAAACAGAAATAGCTGATTCTCTAGAAGAAAGTGATACACAATTAATAGTGCAGAAACCACAAATATAATAAATTCAAAAGATAGTTTAGTAATAAATGATTTATTTTCTCCAGTCTCCTTGAGCCCCGACAGAGTTAGGACCTATCCTATAATCCTTCAACTTCAAAAATACGTACAATTCCAAATAAATTAACAAAACACGCCGCTCTACTTGTATAAATTATGTAAAAAGCAATATGTAGTTTACATTTAGGAATGTTTTCCGGGCTTTGAAGCCGTGGTCTATGGGAATTTCTTCCTGACGTTTCCTCCACAACTGCGGTGGACATTATCAAAGGCGATGAGGCAGGCAGTGGGCGAAGTGATCTCCAACTAAAGCTGGTTCAACTGCTGGATTCCCCGTCGTATTGATGCAGCCCAGCCGTGTGTGCTCATGCGTGGGGGATGGGTGGGGGTTCAAATGCTTCGGCTCACACGCTGTTTGGCGCAAAACGCGCTTCCAATCTTGATTGAGTGCCGTAATTTCTTCTTTTCTGTTAAAGTTGTTTTGGTGTTTAAATATGTCAATGGCCTCTCTGGTGAGTCTCGCGTAGTATCTTTCAGATTGGTGCAGAATGTCCACTTCGTCGAAGCGTATTTGGTGTCTGTCTAGCAGTGCGTGCTCCGCTACTGCTGATTTTTCTGTTTGTCCCAATCTGCAACTTCGTTTGT